CTACCTCGGCTCGCGCTTCTCTCCCAGGTGCCGAAGCTCCAAGCCTTGGCTCTCCAAAATCAGATCGAGGCCTACAACCTCCCGCAGGGCGTGCGACTCGGACCGGCGGAACGAAAGCCACCGACGGGTCCAACCGACGAAGGGGAGTCGACTCCGATGACCCCGATCGACCAAGCGGACTTGGGGGTTGACTTGTGGTCAAGAACGGTGTTTTTTCTGCACAAGTTCTTACACAAAAAAAAACAGTTTCAACACAAGTTCTTGCACTGTGAACAACTGTTTCTGCACAAGTTTTTTTCTCAAGTGTGATCGTGACCTTCATGCCACAGAAGCCCCACACACACTTGAAAAGCCGCTGACAACACGAATGTCTGCCAGGAGATCTGGACCTCTCAGCTGTGATTAGTTGCGATCAAGGCAGTAGTGAATCAGTTGTAATCAAGGTGATGTTTGATTAGTTGTAATCAAAACTCTAGTAAATCATTGACTGTTTTTTTTGAACACAAAGCAGGGACCCACTGGACAGCGTAATCAACAGATTAAACAAACACACGAACCACCACAGATACCTTTTCACCCAGGTGGGGAGTTGTCTTCGTTGGCCGGAGACCCCCCACCTAGCTCTGGCCCCCTGCGCTTGGTTTAAACAATTGCCCTGGCGTCTTTGCTATCAGACTGACGTTCTTTCATTCAGAGAGGCACAAAAATCCCTCTTTGTTCTGGGACAGCAATCCCACCCGTGCCGACATCTTAGAACCGTTGACCATGTGAGGATGAGGAAAGAACACCTGCAGATCTGAGGATCTCGCAGATGTTCCGAGACATTGCTGCCAAGCGCCCGCGAACCATCAGTAAAGTGGGTTCTTGGGCAGAAGAAAATCCAAGCGCCAGCTGTTAGTGGGTTCCTGCTCAGTTCGGAGAAGACGTGTCTTCTAGCAGGTCGGAGCTGGAGTGTCAATAATGGGTAAAATAGGGCCTCCCAAGGACCTCGGAAGAAGGGACATGTACCAAAATCCGTTGGCTGGGGGCTGGGGGCCTCCATAAAAAGATCCATATGTGATTCAAATTAACAAGGTTCCGAAAGACTCATTTTTCATGGAGCAATCGGGACCTTTTATGTTAAACAATTTGGAAGTGACGAGGAATTGAGAAAGGCCACAGGCTAGACCTGCTAAGGAGAACTGTTTTATATGGTAGGTGTGGGGTTATATATGTTGGTACTTGGCAATATCGTGATGTTCCCCTTCCGCCTGGTTGGCCATCGTTGGTTCGAGGCTTACATACCTTTGTGGATCCTCTCCACGGTGGTGGCCGCTTGAACGCCGCCACCACGGAAGACCTGGTGGAACGCATCCACTTTGACGGAGAGACGTCGCGTGGTTCACGACGATGGACGGAATGGACGGTGGAGACGGTGGACGGTGGACGGTGGACGTGGAGGGATGGATGGTGCATTTTCCGTGAGGATCGGGGGTCGCCATGAACCTGTTGCCTTGAAGCAACCTAGCTGGTGCGGAACTCGAGAGCCATAGGGAGATAGTATATTGAAATTCAATATATATATATATACCTAGAACCTGGTCGTGAGTCGTGACCTCTATTTTGGACCACCCACCACCCAAAATATGGTCCAACTTCCTGTCAAAACAGAGCTCATGTCTGGGTTCCAGGTATATATGTGGATTGAAACACCTTTGGAGAACATCGTTGGACCCTCCAAACCCACCTGCAGATCCATCCGAACCACCGTGTGAGACGGTCGAATAAAACATGCACTCCCTCGAAGCTCGATGGTGACTTGGATGGCATGGCCCGCGAAAGGACCCAACGAAGATCCGACCAAACAGGTGGTGGTTTTCACAACTCCACATGTCGGTGACTCGGAGTGTAAGCCTAGATGTTTTTTTCGCCACATTCTAGGCGTCACAGCCTGTTTTTGCATGGTACAACTGGGTGAGACATGGTGAGACGATGCTTTTTTCATCTTTTTTCTTCTCTGTCTGGGCGGCCGCTTGTCACGGAAAGCTTGATCACCTGCAAAGGCCCCTTTTTTGGGAGATTCGTGAAGCCCCCACACAAGCTCCAACAGTGGGACAGTTCGGTCGAAAGCTTTTCTTTTCTGATGCATTAAGCAAGGGCCCAACACCATGAGGCCTTTTCCAAGCCTAAACTGAGTCTGCACCCCGGTGAACCTTCTGACTCGGGGGTCAGTGCAGGTACTTAGCCTTCAAAACCCGTCCGCTGGATGTGGCCTTCCTGCGCGGCACCACCGCAGATGCTGATGGGACACTGGGATCTGCGGTCATCAAGCGAAATGGGAAGTCCAGAGACGGAGAGCAGATAAAACGGAAGTGGCTGAAAGATGTTATAGCCCTCCTTCTCAGAGATCCACTGCCACCTTCTCAGGTTCGGTACGACTCTCCAGTCGGTATACATGGAGTTTTTTTGCTCACTGCACCGCCCAGTGGATCCGGGTAGAAGCATACCTTGACCCTCCACGCTGGGCGTACTTGGTACTGTTGAGTCGTAGCTTTCACCCTGTTGGAAGATGACAGAACCGTGCTCCGTTCTGTCTGGCATAGCATGGAAGACGAAGTCAGAACCTGACAGAACCAGTTCGTCTCCAGTTCACTGGCAGATTCAGGCCAGCGGAGATTCTTCCTTAAGGGGCCTATGGGTGAACTTCTTCTGGTGACTCTATTCTTTTTCTTGGTTCCTTAACTTTAAGAAGGCCAAGAAGTATGCCTCACTTGCTGCTAAAGTATGTGGTTCCAAGAAGTAGGCCTAGGTTAACTTTTAAGTATGTTCCAAGCTAGGCCTCACTTTGCCAAAGCGACATTGACCCCCCAAAAGAGGAACCTGTTCTGGCCATCGCATGAATTTGGACCTCCCAACATCGATGATGTTCCACCACATCGACCAGCCATGTTATCCTGGTTTTGCTTTTACTCTTCAGGCGATTGTTTATGTTCCCGAACTGTTATTCTGTTTTCTTCATCCCCTAGCCCCTGGGGAATATACGGTATTTTCTTATTCTTTACCGGTTCCTGGACAGTAAATCCAAGAACATGCTATCACTACTCGTGACATGTTTGGCTTTTGAGGAACATCACTATGGAGACACGGCAGTGGAAGGGGATAGTCGCGACGGCAACTGCTCGCCATGGGTGGCCTCCACCATGATGGGATGGCCGGTGCACATGTTTTGCTTGGAGTGTACACCCGAATCAGTTTATAATGTTCTTCTCTTTTGCAGGATGTCAACACATCACAATTTTTCTCACATTGTGTCCCCCAGGTGGTGGGACAACTTCATGTGGCTATTTGTGTCATGGACCTATCCCGTTGGATCACAGTCTTCCTCCACTTCAGTGGGTCAAGATGGGTCAAGCACCAAAACAGGAACATAAAAAAGGATCTAAAAGAAGCAACGCACAAACCACTTGGTATTTCTTTTGTATTTTTCAGATCTTCTTCATGTATGTTTGAGACATGGAACCTTGCATATTAGGTGAGTTTTTTGAAAGCTTGCCCGCGTGTGGACTTCTTCTGTGAGTGTCACCTTGCGCATAGAAAACACACACGTGGTTGCTCAGGGTCCCTTGTGACTGCCAAACAATAGGTCAAGAGGTTTAGTGAAACCCTGCTAGCCATCAAATCACCAGCTCACTAAACCTACCAAGACCTGCTGAGGCACATCTGTCTTTTCTTTTCAAGAAAGGGTTCTTGCAGCACCTCACCAGAAAGGCACCATTGAAACGTTTGGGGAAGGACCCTTGGTAGTGTCCCCACCAGTTGGAAGATTGACATGAGGAAAGAATCTGCATGGACATTGTTCAGTTTGGAAGCACTCCCAAAACACATTTCTTGGATGAAATTAGATTCTAAAGTTTTTTTTGGCCAGTGGAGTGCTCTTGTGGGAATCATGGTAAAGATTTGTTACTATGTTTCACATGCCAACACCCTTTGACCCCGCGGTTCGGCGTTTCGTCTCCCTCCCCCTCCTTTCCTTCATCTTTCTCAGGAGAGGGAAGGCTTATTTCTGGAGAATCTGGCTATGGCCATGGCCGCGCACAACTCGGGCGGCCGGGTGATGGTGCAGGTGGAACACTTAGCCCAGCGCCATTCGCTGCCTCCGAGGCGCGCCCCCCCGAGACGAGACGAGACGACTCCGACGGTTCGCCTTTCGGCGTGGTGGGGGGGTGGTGAGCGTTGGGAGCGTTGGCGCGGTTTGGTGCGTTGCTTTGGCGCGTTGGTTTGGGTGCGGTTTTTGGAGGCTCCAAGCGTTTTCAGAGGCGAGGGTGCCCCAAGGCGAAACGGTAGCAGGTAGCAGTGGCAGCGAAGGACAAGGTTTCTGAAGGCTTCAAGGGTCTGTGTTTGGAAGGGATGTTCTACAGGAATGGTCAGTGTTATGGTCTGCTGGTCCTACTTCAGGTTGAATGATTTGATGAACGGTGGGTTCGGGGCAAGTTCTGCTGGCAGGCAAGTGAAGATTCCTGGGATCCTGGTGGACTGTGTGGTGCTGTCTAGGCCCGTCTCTTGGCGAAGCGGGTTTGGAGGAGAGAGCGACCCTACAGGGACCTGATGCGAAGGTGAAGAGATCCACATGGAACCAGATGCGGACCAGACTGGAAGACCCTTTTCCTCTACAACTCCGGGCGCCGTGGTTTTCAGGTTCGGTAGGTCTGAGAGCCCTGGAGGGCTTGGCTACGGCGGATGCGGATGCTAGCGGGAACCGGCGCGCGTGAAGCGCCAGTTGGGGGTCATGGCATCTGGAAAACCGAGCCTTTTTCGATTGAAAAGGAACAGAATAGACCGAATAGAATGACAGGGTCAACCTACCAGTGTGTTCCTTCAGCATTCTGTTTCTTCAACCCACAGGCATTTCTGTAGTGGTGGTTCAGATATGTTCAGATGGGTGAGCCAAAGCAGTTTCACTGGATTTCACTTGGCTTGCCAAACAGCAACACAGCAGGGGTTGGTACTCTTCCGTACTGTTCCTGATTTTCGGTGGGTCAGGCTGAATCCACTGGTTCTGAGCTCAGCCAAGTTCTACGTGCATCTCCGATCAAAGCCGATCCTGAGAACTCCTTTGGGCGCCGTTTTCAGGAAAAGGCCATCTTCTGGTTGAGCACAGGGGCCATTTCAGGTGCTACACATGGGGGAGACCATCTCGGATCTTCCACTTTCGGCACGACACCGACATGTGCATCATTCCACCGGTCCGCGCCCGGCTCGCAGTCTGCGCCGGTCCCGGCCGGCTCGCGCGGAAGTCGTCCGACTTTTGGCGGTGCGAGCTTCTTGGGGCAGATCGGCTGACCAGGAACACCACTGGCAGACCTTCTCGGTGCCCTATAGCCCCGCCTTTAGCCACGAGATACGCCTCGCCAGCGAAGCGCTCGTGCCCGGGACTGGGTAAGGTGGACGGGTGAGGGGGAGCGACATGGGAACGGCCCTACGAAATGAAGCCTGGCATGGATTAGCCAGGAACATGGTTCAACCTGCAATATCCTTAGCTTGGAGTGGGAATCCGCACTCAACCTGATATCGGCTTGTAACATTGTATCACAAGATCTGTCCACTGCCACTAGGTTGATCATCAACCTATAACTTCTTTCCACCGAAAGAATCCTTTTGGTGAATACTGATGGTTCATGGTCCCACTTGGCCCAGTACTTGGCCTTATAGGTTCTTTCGCCTGCCGAAGACCATTCGTCTAGGCAAGTGTGCAACAGTCGCAGCGCCGTGTCAAGGCAAGCGCACGGGGCCATCCTTGGGCACCCATTAGAATCAGAACAAATCATTTCATATCACAGCTCATATACCAGGCAGCCGGCTCAGCGCGGTTGGAGCCCCAAAACAGTACAGCAGGCTTGAAAGAATCTATTCAAATAAAGAATGGGAAGCTTCATTCCAAGAGACCTCCATCTGTGTTGTGCCTGATTTGCACCCCAGGCCCTCATCCCATCAACCTCATGTACCGATCCTCTCAGACCCCCCCAAAAACCTCCCCTAGCCTCCTCGCGGATCCGATCCTTTTGGACTCAGACTCTCCAAAACAAACACATGCCTATACCATCCTATACCTAACCTGGTCGCGACCGGGCCAACCACCCCAAATTATTGATCCAACTTCCCAAAACAGAGGTCACACATGGTCAGACTGTTTGGGTTCCAGGTACATTGACCTCCCCAAACCACGTCCGTTTCGACCTTCGACCTTCCAACCTCGACCGACCTCAGGATCCGATTGGCCTGGACGAGCGGAAGGTCATCGCACGCCGGGCCATCTTGGAGCTTCGGCCCAAGGCCCTCGTCAACGTGGGCGCCGGGATGCCCGACCGGGTGGCCATTTGGGCGGCATTGGGGATGGGGGGATGGCTTGAGTTGGGCGAGTGGGCGAGTGGATGTTGATTTGAACTGATGCTTTCAAACCGGATCCAGACTCTGGATCTGAAGACTTCTTTGATGAGTATTGATGAGTGTATACTGTATACTAGTATATGGATGAGTTCTGGTGACGTCACTTCACCTAACTCGCTGGCCAAGAGTTGCTTCTGCTGCGTTCAAAGAAAGTCTTGCGGAACTGCACCGATCCTTTGTCTCGACCGGTCCGGCCAATCCTCATTTGGTCAAGCGAACTAGTTCAGTTGATGACCTAATCCGACAAAAAAAATAGAAGACCTCTCAAAGGCTCAGAGTTCGGAGCCTCAGTTCGAAAACACCGGGTGAACTGGACCGAGGGTCGCAGTTGGTAGCAGTTGCTTCAGGGCCGAGTTCGGGTCGCGTTTGGGTCCAAGACTCGCACGGGAGAGCAGCAGCGGGTCGAGTCCTCGGCCACCGAACAGCTGTCTGGTTCTGCAGTTCGGGTTCTGACGGATACGCGTGGCCGAGTGGTTGGTGCATGTTCCTTTCCTTTTTGTTGGGAGAGCGAGCGAGCTTGCAGCAACATGCTGCTGGTTATACTATTTTTTTGTTGGACTAGAATTTCAGCTGGATGATAGATCCAAAGGTAGGATGAGACTTTCAATATAGCTAAGAGGATCTTCCAGCTTGTACCCCGCATGTTCCGCCGAAAGAAACGGACTAAGTCACCCATACCAAGAACCTTTTGTGTACCAAGACCCATGGCCATGTTGGATCCTGATAAGTAATACAAAGGGTTCTCAACCAGAACACCCTAAGGGGTGTCTATTGATAGCCCCTTAGAGGTTAAGGGGTGTCCATTAACCACCCCTTGTGGGTCCTAGAATCATGCTAAATGTTTTTCTGATTAAGTAATAGGGTTGTAATTGGATGAGCTCCAGGATCCAACCTGAAAAGAGCGACCTTCAATCGACACTCCGTGTTCGCTCTCAGGCACGGGTCGCGCATGAGGAAGGCGTGCTGGAGCAGGTGACCATCACTTTAGAGCCAGGTGAGGCTTCAACGACGCGCCGTTGCTGGTAGGTTGGAGGCCATCGCTACTAGGGACAAGGGCCTTATTACTAGCAAGAAGCTACGCACGGCGGAGGCCTTCGCTTCTAGTCTGGAGGCGAATCGCTTGTAGCTCGGAGGCTCGCCTGAGCGGTTCGCTACTAAGCGTTCCTGAGCGCTCCCCTCCCTCTGAACAATTCCGGGCTTAACCTCCAAGCGGTCGAGTCCGGTCTGGTACCCAGTTTGCCCGGTTCGGGTCAGCGAAAACGAGCCAGTCGTGTTCTAGAGGATCCGCATGGATTGACAAAGGTTACCTTAGGGTAGCTCAAGAGTATAACATATCTCAAGGAATATACAGTCAGGGACAAACAGTTAGAAAATAAACGCAAACAATTTATTTAGATATTTCTAGCTGCATTTAAATACTTATAGCATATTTTAACTGTTTGTCCCTGATAGTACTACAATAGGCTATAATATATTCATGGGATCAATATTAGGTCATACTGAGTCATACTCCTCGAATCTCCTTGAGCTTTTCCTCTACCAACATCGATCACAAAACAACCAGCACAAAGCAACGATGTATTTACTGCACAGTAGTTCTAAGGGGGATATCAGGTTATAAAGTAAAAAGTGACATTTGATGGCTGCACCATCCTGTCTGGGTGTCCTGGCGTGTGGAGATCCCGGTAACGTCACGGAGGGTAGTCCAGCTAGGTGACCCAGTGGCCGGATGCTCCTGCTATTGAAGATGATCTTAAAAGAAGTATAGTATATAGGTATATTGAAGACCTATACCTATCAGACTATATAGGTATATGACAAGATGCTATACCTAGGCCTATATAGTCTGATGTAGTTTATTCCGTCCTTGATCAAATGGCCGGGGAAATGCTTCTACCTGGAGTCACATGGGGTGGTGCCATGGGGCCCGGACGTTCGGAACACCCCGGGCCCCGCACCCTGTCCTCCATGATCTCCATGGAACTTCTTGTATAAAATGGTGGATTGAGAGTAATTGAGAGTAGATGGCACAATCTCCAAGTGTGGGTGCTTCAAACGGACCCCCTATTCTTTTTTCAGGACATTCTTGGGGTGCCAGTGCCATCTACTCTGAGGTTTCACGGTTTCACTTGCGTAGATCCGTCCCAGAAATCCTGTAGAGCCGTCGGGATCCACAAGAACATCACGAGTTTAGAGATAAAGGCCTGCATGATCATCCACCTGTCACTGGTAATTGGTTACCCAACCAACAACCATTTGGGGGCTTGAAATATCTCGAACATCGTTCTCCCTTTCAAGCTGCGGTCCACATGGAAAAGCCATGAAAAGCCAACAAAAAAATTAGCAAGGGTCTTCGAAGCGGGAGTTTCTGAATTCCTCTTCGTTTTGGTTGTTGGGCACCAAGGGAGATGTTCAAGAAGCCGATCTGAAAGACGAGAGAAGATGACATCATGTCATGATCATGAGAAGATGACATTCATTGACATTCGGAGGCAGTCCATGCTCGGAACCGCCAGTCGCTCTTGCGTAGTTTCAAGGCCTCAGGCCTCTTTTGGAGGTTTGACTAGTCCGACAGATCTGTCAGGGTGGCGTCGAGGCGGCGTTGGCCACCCCCGCCTGTCGCTCACTGTTTGGGCCCAGTCCCTGTCTTGTCACCGGGATGTCACGGAGTACAGCGGTGAGAAGAATCCCAGCATGGATGTGGGAGTAAGTCAGTCACGGGCACCGCAAACGGGCGGTTGACCGTCTTGGCTGAGCAGATTCCCTCTAATAAGGGATGTGAACCGAGCTCCCATGGGTTGGGTGGAACATTCGGTGCCATGACAAAAAACCAGCCTCATGGTGGTGTTTTGGGGTTCGTGCCTTGACTTCTCTTCTTCACGCAGGGGTGGTCGGCGGCATTCCTGCAAGCTCGCCCAACTTCGGCGCCGCGGTCAACGTGGACGCGCTCATCGACCAGCCATCGATGTTCGACTTCTACGACGCCCAGCCATCGCACCGGGGTCCGACGGGGCGGCGCGCATTTTGACCGGGGCGGTGGGTGGCGGGTGGATGTCAGTGGGTGGAACTGTGGGTGGAACTGTGGGTGGATCAGAGAGGTCTTTTTGAAAGGATTGGACCATCACGATCTGATCGAAACAGGTCGCCGCTTTAGTGTCATTTGAAGATCAGAAGGCCCAAACTCTCGCCTCCGCAGGCTCCGAATCTGGAGGAAACATCGGAAACCGACCTAGGCAGCCTAGGCACCGATCGTGGCCTCCACCACATCCGTCAACGAGTTGCAACCCCTCCGTGGTTCAACCAGCACCCCCCGGTAGAATCCAACGGCTTCCCGCCCGTCGATTCTGCGCCGCGGAACCCCAACACCCACGGCTTCGTCGTCGGCTTCGTCGCTTGGGGTAGACGTCGGCCACCACGCGGTCCTGTACTTTCTGGCGTGTTGAGCACTGGACTCTTTCCGCGGTGGAGAATGCCTTCAGCACATGGGTGACTCAGTTTGTTAATACAGAAGTCTTCTATGAAGCTCCAAGACCATGATGTGTTCAATCAAGGAACCTGTCACCTACCTACAGTTCATTGTAACCTGAACAAATAGCCCTGGCTAAGCTCCAAACCGTCCCAAGAGTGTTCCTTTCCCCCGAGGATGGCGGCGGCTTGGACATGGCGTTTCTGGGCATGGCACAGGTCGACGCGGCTGGGAACGTGAACTCTTCACGCTTTGGCACCAAGCTGTCGGGCGCGGGAGGCTTCATCAATATCAGCCGCTCGTATTGCGAGCCAATGGGATGCTTTTTTCATGCTCCTCGTGAGTAGGGAGAGGTGGTCTTGTTCTTGTTGTTGTTGCTGTTGTTGTTGTTGTTGTTGGGGGTGAGCGGGTGGAGAATCGGGGGGGTTGGAATTTGGGGTTGGTGTCTTTTGGGGGGGCTGAAATGGGCTGAAAAAAAGTGCGTGTGTGTGTATATATATATAGAATGATTGCTTCATGCTTTAAGCAGAGCGGACTACATTGAGCTCATTTCTGTCCCGTCAAGACAGTGATACTCGATTTCTTGCGATGTCCAAATGAGCCATTCCAGGGACGTGTGTAGGGGCAGCCGGCTGCTTGATGGAGCAGCCGATCGTGTGCTATTGCTTCAGAAGGTGGCTGAACACATCTGGGCACGACCCTTTAGGGTGGAATACATGCCCTAGGGCTCCAAGTACATCTTCAGAAGGTGGGACTGGGCTTCAGGGGTCCAACCACCTGAGGAAGTACGACTAGAGCCCCAGGGATGAGTGTCAGTGTGAGAGACAAACATCTAAGACACAGAAAAACGGTTGGGGGCCAAGCCTTTTTTGTGAAAGAAAGGGCAGCAGAAAAGCTGGAAGCAGCTAGCTGCAGCTAGCTCTTCGTGTTTCGTCTTTTGGACATTGTTGCAACCATTGGTAGGTGGTTTCCACCAGGTTAACGCTCTCTGTCATAGTCATGGTTGGTTACCATCTATACTTCTTGTTTTGCTGAGGCCAGAATTGCAAAAAGGTCGTCTTCGTGGGCACCTTTACCTGTGATGGATTGGAAGTGTCAGTTCAAAATCAACTCACAATCCTCAAGGAGGGCACGTGCCGCAAGTTTGTGCAGCAGGTGGAGCACGTCACCTTTTCCGGTGACTATGCCACTTGCCGCACTTGCGAGATTGGAAGCCAGCAAGCTGCCCTTCTTTCTGCAAAAATATATTCCAAACACTGTGATGAATCCTATAGTTGTTCTATGTTTTTCCGTTTTTATTAAATGTTCATAGGCTCACAGGTTGTCATATATAGTGAAGACAGGGTACCGCCCCCAATGTCACACACAGACTCTCAGCGATCCTTAGCTCAAAACCTGCGATAGACGATAGACATGAGCGAATTCATCCCCTTTTGGTACAGAGAAAAGTCGTCTTCCTTTGACCACGCCATGCGCGTCACCAGAGGGTGTGATGTGTTCGACACATCTCTGCCGGATGAATCAACCGTCGTTGCGGTGCATCCATCCCTGACCGGACTGGAAGAGACGTTGGACGAATGAGTCCATGGTCATGGGGCAGTTTATTTTTATCACAGTAAGTATTCCAGCACCTTCAAAGGGGTCACCAATGGAAGCCCCTACACTACCTAGGGATCTCCATTGGACACCCCTTTGAAGCTCCAGGTTCCCTAGCAAAAACCTGGTTTTTGTATGTGAAAACCTTTGTGTTTCATGGTTTTGAGGGCCCTGGTCTTCCAATCCGACGGTCGACCGAGACCATTCGCGGATGCTTGGAGGCTCGAGAAAGGAAGCAAGAGGTGCTCTACGTCACGGAGCGATGCGTCTTTCAACTGACCTCCAACGGCTTAGAGCTCACGGAGGTTGCCCCTGGCATCGACTTGGAGAAGGAGGTCTTGGCACATATGGACTCTTGGATGTGACTTTCCGACTGGGGTGTCAAACTTGAGAGTCCAAAGTTTGGTGTCTACCGGTTGTGTGTTACCAATTGACTGTAACAGTTATTTGTTTAGGGTCTACTACATAACCGAAGGTTAGTATTGGTCATACCCAAGGTAGACCAGACACCTTCCCTCTCTTAACCTGAATCTCACGAAAAGGACGAGACAGGTGATGATCTCTTGTGTCATTCAGAATGAGAAGGATGAGACAGGTCAACATACCTGGTGGTGTGGCATGCAAGGTCCATACACTCACCACTCCTAAATTCAAGCAGCATGTCTCCCATGAACAATTCCCATCAAATCCCATCAAGCGAACAACCTGGTCCACGATGTAGCGAACGACCTTCCAAGTCCACCTGAGCCGGACAACACATTGACCAGCCATTTTCATCCATCCAACGCACCAGGGTAGTGGTTACCCGAAGCGTTCCGACTTCCGCTCCGGTTGCCGGAAGTCCTAGGACTTCCATCCACGGATCCGGTCGCCCGGTCCGCGGTGGATGGAGCAGCGCATCTTCAGGGATGCCTTGATGCTTGGCAGGTAGTGAGTCTCTTTGTTCAAACAAACGTACTGTGAACAGATGGACTGTGATGGTTTAAAATGAAGAATGCCACGGTGAGAGTGGCGATAGTGGCAGGTTACTTTGTTTCCATGACAGTATTCTATCCAGAAAAAGGATATGCATCTGAGAGTCAGGTGCCGAAACATGCCAGAGGCGGTTGACAAGAGATGAGAAAGGATGCTTTTCTTCTGCTGTGGGGAGAGGGTCTGTCAGTTTGCGAGTCATCTTGGGATCGTTTGTTTGATGACTCGAGCCTCGCCCAGGATGGGCTTAGGCCAGATTGATGCTCGCCTTTGAAGGTGACGCGTTTGTTTTATGGACGAGTTGCACAGAAGCGGCACTTGTCGACAGAAGCGGCACTTGTCGCCGGGTTTAGAGCCATGGACGCTTGGAGGCATTTGGCCGGGGCGGGCTCGAGCTATGTAATTGGGTGACTGGGAATATGAGACATTGGGAGCTGGTGGTGGCTCGATATTATGTGAGGAATCCGCAGACACTATAACATGCTTTCAACTTGACGGTCATTGTTTTCATGAAAACGAGGTTTGATTTTCGTTTTGATTTACTCTTATACTCTTATAGCTTGAATTTCTATAGGTTCCCATGCAATGATGGCAACTAACTATCACATATGATCATATCATATGTGTTCAATCAGTGTTTTGTTACGTGGACACTCGGATCAGTTTCACTCGGGTCTGACCAGCCCTTTATGAGATAGTAGCTCATGACTCGAAGCAGAAGCTGTTCGGGTTCAACAAAAAAGTGATGGGAATGCGGAGAAGACCGAGAAACGAGGACATTCACCTTCACATCAACAGCTAGACTTTGACATTCCATGAGACGAGCAACGTGAGACCATTTGGGAAATGGGCATCTGCCTTGAGATCTTCAAAGGTCATATGGCAGGGTCATTTCGGTGTCTTCTGAAATGGGACGATGTGACAAGTGGTGATTTGTGGCCGGGACATGGGACGCGACTCGCGTCCCTTCACATCAACCATATGACTCACTTCTTCAGGCCAGAGGTGCTCTCTCTTGTTTTCGGCAGACGAGGAGGTCCCAGGGAGTGCCAGTGCCAGGAGTGCCTGGTATCAAAAGAAGCTGTATTAACATCAATCAAAATCAATCAACATCCACTATAATCATCTATAATAATAATAATCTATAATCCACTTCTCACCTCCCGATGCAGGTGATCATCTCTGAGAAAAGTGGACACTGGATTGATATTCAGAATACCTTCCTTTGGTGCGACCGATTTGGAAAAAAACAAGAGGGTACGACATGTGGGGAACTCAACCACTATTCTTGGTGATCTCGAATGGAATGCTGGGGAAGCGAATTTCATGGTCTGTTCCTTGACTGTTGGTCTCTGGAACCAAGACCAGCCAGAACTGTTTGGCGATGTGTTCCAACCCTGGACCAGCAAGAAGTTCCTGGTTCATCTCTGTTGACCATGTTGTTTTTGGTCCCCCCTTCGTTAAAACCGCCTCGCGGTGGGAAATCCGCTGAGGTTACTCATTTGATGTGCGCGCCCCAAAGACTCGGACGCAGCCATGGGAGCAACCCATTCCGTTTGTGCGGCAAGAAAAGCTTTTGATCCGTCCGATCCGATTCGTGTAGACTCGGTGTCCGGTGGTTCTGACGAAGGTGGTTCGTTCGAGGCGACTCGGAGTGGTGTGGATCGTACATGGTGACTTCGACTACTGTACCTCCCTTCCAAAAGGCTTCCAACACGTGCAGGTTCTGTGTGTGTAGTCGCAGTTTTCGGGAGAAGTGGCGGTTTTCGCTGGGTGACGTGACGCGTGGCATGGGGAATGGTTTCGTTTACTTCGCTTCCGGTGACAGACCTCGAGATGGGTCCTGACCAGTCCGCGACGCCTTCCGTGAGTCCGGACCAACAAACGACCTGGACCTTCAAGGGGTGGTGAATGGACACCCCGAATGACAGCGTTTCAGGGGCTTTTTTAATAGACACCCCGACAGGAGGGTCCTGGTATCTACTCTCCCTGAAACAATCATGGAAATGGATGGCATGTCCGAAAAAGAGATGCTGCACTGTTGATAGACGGTGTATATATACCGAAGACCAAACTGGGGTGAAGCCCACTTCCATGGAGGTTATGTCTTTAAGGGGACAGCTAAGCTTGACACTTGTGCGCTTGCTCGAACAGATTTATCTTTACTTTGTGTGTTCTGTTCGTGACGGTTTGTTATATTTAAACTTTATCTATAATGTCTTCTTTGCTGTGACACAGGGGTTCTGAACTGAACATATTTCCCACAGACTCCATGTATGCAATAATGCATCCCGACATTGACCCTGTTTCAAATCTTCAAACACCCCAATGTAGCTGTGTTGGCTGTAGTGCTGTGTCATGTGCTCCCTCAAAATGAGGGCTGACATAAGCCAGCCCTTCGCGAACTTGAAGAGAAAGGTACTATACCCATACACTCCATGGGACTGCCATAGGACTGCCGCCCCAGAAAGACCCCCCTGGCACCACCACCCCTGGCCGTTTCTCGGCAGTCCTGGCAGGCAGTCCCAAACAGGTCGCGTTCGCGTCGCGTCTGGGGTACTTCTTTCACTGTCAGTCCGACCACTCGGAGTGTTTGGCTACTTCAAATGCGGAGGGTCGGAGTGTTTCAGTCCAAAGGCCCCGGCCCCGGTGTGACAAAGAGGTGGACACGTCTCGAACCTGAGGGGGCACAGGTCTGGATGCCTGGGCGACTCCAGCAGTTGGCTCTACTTGACCACGCTCCGAAGTCGGTGAAAGCCATTCTTCGGTTCTTTGCCGGTGTGTTTTGAAGACATCCCCTGAGGGTCCAGGACCATCCGAAGCGGATGGTCGAACGGAGGTGAGGCCTCGTCCTTCGAATGGTCTGACCATCCTGGGGCCTTGCAGGACATCCGAGCAACGGATGGTCCTGGACCCTTAGGGATAAGGGTTTGTGGCTGGTGATTTCGGCTTTGGTCCTGGCTTTGGCGGTTGGAACCGGTGATGGTTCTTTTTCTTGAACTGGGTGAATCCCCGCCTTCCTTTTCGGGGTTTCCGAATGAACACACAATTTAGTAAAAGCTGTTCATGGGTCTTGTGCTTTTCGGCGTGGGGCGTGGAGCATGTCTTTTTTGGGCACCATGTCGCACCATGTCGCCTGGAGGCAAGGGCTCTTTGCCCTTCAGCGAGAACACCCGCGTGCTCTTTGATACTGCCAATGTTGGCACGCTCAGCATGGGGTGTGTTTCGGTCATTCCATCCTGATATTTGTTTTCACGCCTCTAGGGGGCGATGGTTTGGCCGGCTTCAGATCTTCTCCGGCCGTCGCTGTTTGCGGCCGCACATGTGGATCCTTCGGTGTTGGAGGGAAGTTGACAGTGATTTTGTCGGAGGATCCGAGGGGAGATGAAGAATCAGTGGCTTAAGCTTGAGCTTTCATGTGGAGTGTCCGGTGGTGAAGGTGGATCACTGTCATCTGCATGGGGGAGAAAGGAGTGCAGTGCCCGCGATAAACGGGTGAGTTGTGTGGCCGAGAAGGAGGGACGGCATGGGATTGGGCACATGGATGAGAGGTGAACAAACACATGTCAAAACTGGAAGGAGGATCGATCTCGCAGGGTAGGGGACGTTTCTGAAGCTAAGAACTTTGGTGCCCCTTTGCAGAACTCTTAGCTTGTTTGCCAAGGGGAACTCAACATGCTGAGTTTGCCGAGTTTGCAACTGACCAACCTACCAGGGGCCCTCAAAACCATGAACAACACAGGTTTTCACCTACAAACACCATGCTTTTTGCTAGGGAAAACCAGGTCTTTGGATGGGCCATGTGGGGCCCCAAGCTCACGGCCCATCAGTTGGGTTCGTGGCACTGGATTCGGATCAGCTCGCATTCGACCACCGCTGGGTGTCTGGCGTCTGGCCCTGTCTGGCTGAGGCCGCGAGTGTGGGCAACACTGAGATCGGCTGTGAGCAGCTGCTGCTGGCCTTCTGCAGCTGGCCGACACCAGGGCTGCGGCTGGTTTGGCTTAGCTAAGGTGATTTTTGGGGTTTCCCAGTTCCTGGGTGAATCCTGGAACGTTCATTGACACCTGGTCTCACCCGGCAATGGAAGTGGAGGTAGGTACATTGGGGGCTCTGGAACTTTCCTCAGGACCTCCACTCCAATTGAATATGTCCTTGGACCATGGGGTAGACTGAGACCTGCTTTTTCATGGTTCTTCTCTAAAAGCTCTTAGTTCAAGCAGGAAACATCACATCCCGCGGCGGCGAACTGGAGTGGAACTGGTTTCTTTCATGTTGCTTTCAGTAGTCTTGGAGGGTCCAATTGCCTTCTGAGAAGGTATGTGGATCCATAGGGATTTGCTTGTGCTTGCCTTGTTAATTTGCTTGCTGCCAACGGCATTGGGGCGCCTGAGGCGAGCCGCCACTGGCGCAAAGCGGAGCCATGGTGTTGCTTAAAGGCCGCGGTGTTTGACGCGCTCGGTCGCAGCCGTGGTGTTTGGCTTTGAAAAAGGAAGGCCGGGGTGGAATTGTTCTAGGATGTTTTGGATTGAGACTTTGGGGGGATTTGGAGGCCGCTCTTAGGTTGGAGGCCATCGCTAGTAGGTTGGAGGCCATCGCTTTTTCGGTTTTTAGTAAGGCGATGTTTTGGATAATACATTGGGACATTTTAGTAATCTGAGCTTGGACCCAGCGCAGTTCGTGACGTTATCCTGCTTAGGAAAGCATGGAAGATCGTGACAGAAGCGGACCTTCAACACCTGCTTTGCTGGGGACATGGACTTCTTCTGCCTGGGCGCGCTGCGTCGATCACAGGAATCACGCCTGGGGTCCACTCGGTTGAACTCGACCCAGCTACTTTTCATGTGTCCGTTCACCCATGGCGATGCATGTCAGCACTGGGCACCTCCCTACAGATGGTCATTTGCCTTCACCAGTGAACACTCCAACCTCCCTGCTCAAGGGGGGGGCAATGGGGGGCGATCATTTCGCAGTTTTCGCTGCCACCTGCAGCATCCGTGCTCGCCGTGCTCGCGGTGCTCGCCCAGCTTGGCTGCTCGCGAGGCCTCGGGCTTTCAGGGGAGAAGTTGAAAGCGGCGGTCGAGGAGGAGCTGTGTGGCGCTTGGAGCGAAGGACACACGCTCAAGACTCACCTGGTTGTGGGTTATGACAGCCATGAGACCCCGTAAGGGGTACCCGTTCTTCATCGTTTTTGTCGTTTCCCCACGGAAAGATCTACAGACGATCCCTAAGCGTCCAGGACCCATCCGTTGCGAGGTCCCAACACGCCAGGGCCGGTCCTCTCAGCGCGCGAACGGCTACGGTAGCTTTCACTCATCTCCGATCGACCTGAGGCCGAGTCGGATGGTCCTGGACCCTAAAGAAGATGAGACACCGAACACACACACACAGAAGAGGTTCGAGATGAGTTCGGGCTCACAACCCTAAAGATGAGACTAGACCCACACCTTTCGTTACCGGTCCTAGGGACTCGAGGTTCGATCCCTGTCGTTCGTTCGATCGGCCGTCTGGAACTGGTTCTGCCCAGACGCACTGCAGCGGACCCTCCGTCTGCGGGATCGCGACGCGTGACGCGTGACGCGAGACTTCGGGGTCCGGACCCTCCCCCAAACCCGGTGTTGAGGGATCAAAAGCGTCGGGCTGTTGGGGTGCTTCACTGTCCAAAACAGGCGTATGCTGGTATCTCAGAACCAGTCCAGGACGGCTTAGGGAAGGGATTTCCGGGGTCCGACAGGGGCGGACCGGGCCTAGGGAGGCCCAGGGCCCAAGTTTAGGGATGTTGAGGGTCCGAACACTTCTCACAGCCTGCACCGCCTGCATTTGCAGTGTTTTGATTGAGTACTCGCGGCCTTTGTTGTTCTTGAGCACGTACTCTCTGTTGGAATGATCAAACTGGATCCACCTTGCGAGATGAACCGTCCAGGTGAACGCTGACGAGCTTGTGGTTTGTGCATATTTGATAGGGTTTGGGAAGACGAGTCCTGAAAGACAAGAAGATGTGTTGGTCAAATGTGACAGTGAGCAAGAAGATGACAGAGTTGGATGTGCTGCATGACTGCTGGGGTCTCTTGATGCGGCAAATGGCCGCCCCTTTGGCGGACGAGCAGTTAGAATATGGCGTTACACAGAGCAGGGGGAAGATCGGAGACCACACGCAGTTAGAATATAAAGACGCCACGAGACGAAAAAGACATAGTTAAGAAAAACAACTGCGGTGATTTGCAGCAAGTGAATGGAATTTGAACTGGGACTATACTGCTTAGCCTTTGCAAAACTGCAAAACTCCACTGCAGAAGCACCTGCTTCAAGTGCTCCCTCACAGACTTACAGTAAGAAGGTCCAAAAAGCTCCCGATCACCGTTGGAGGCCATTGCTCTTAGGGTGGAGGCCATTGCCATTGCTATTAGGTTGGAGGCCATCGCTCTTAAGTTGGAGGCCATCGCTGTTAGGTTGGAGGCCATCGCTATTAGGTTTGGAGGCCTAGCTTTGTCTCTGCAAGGTATCATGGTTTTGGACTACCAGTTAGAATATGTTCCCCTGCTTTCTGAAAGGCCCATATTATCTATCTGCCAGGGTCATCCCAGGGTCATCCATGGATTTTGGAAGGTTTTTTGGGGCATTATTTTAACACAGCAGGTCTGTCCTTAAATCTATGAAGGGAGTTTCTAGGATCGGACTGTTCACTGTTGACGATTCATGGTTGTTTTTTTCCTGTGAGCATGATATCAACTCCTGCAGCTCTTGATACCTTCCTGTGCATTGTGGAGGGTCGCATAGGGTCGCTTAACGTTGTGGAGCGTTCAACTGCTTGTGCTCGATAGCACTGGGGCCAGTGTGGAGCTGTGGGCGATCATTTTGTGCGCATGGCACTTGTACAAAGTGGAAACTCAATGACCGCATGGCTGTGGGCAGCCTCCTGGACTCCGGAACCTTTTCAGAGATGTCAGTCTAGCGTGCTTGTGCGTATTTCTCGCTTGGGTCGAAACCCACTCCCTGATCATAAACATCAGTCTCAGTCTTAGTCTTAGTCTTAGACAGGGCTTTTATCTTGTAGTTGAGCGGTTGGGCCTGCCTGTGCTTGGGGTGGTCTATTGTCCGGCAGGGTTGGGAAGACGTGTCGGCCGAAGAAGAAGAGGAAGAAGACATTTTAAAGTGCTGCACCACCCAGATGCCCAAAATACTAGAAGCTATGACGAAGTTGTTCGTAGCAGTTTTACAAATAGATATATAGTTCACTCATGAATCATGCTTGGCCTTTCCCGTGAATAACCTTCCAATTCCTCCTTGATGGGCTTGACACCTTTTTGTACCTTAACATTGTGGAGTGTTCAACTGTTCGTGCTTGACAGCCTTAGCGCCAGTGTGGAGCTGCGAGCGATCAAAGATATCCAACCAACTTTGAAGATCGTTTTGTACGCATGGTGCTTCTGAAGTGGAAACTCAATGACCACAGGTGTGGAGTCCTGAGACAGTCCAGACAACTTTCAATATTCGCCACTGTTAAACATAGGACCTATTTGGTGACAAATCACGAAAGCTAGCTGTAGCTAGCTGGAGTCTGTCTTGCTAACACCTGATATACTCCCTTTGCCGTGGAACTGAACTCCACCCTTCCCCCCTGACCGTTTCTCAGTTCCCAAACGTGGCCGCTGTTGCCGATGCTGCTTCTTTGTCGCTGCTGCTGCTCCTGTTTCTATGTTTCTTTGTTGCCGGTCTTTTGCTGCTGTTGCTGCTGCTGCTTGGTGGTCTGCTACCACTGCTGCTGCTGCTGCCGCCGCTGCGAGGTGGTTTGCTACTACTGCTGCTGCTGTTGCTGCTTTGCTCCTGCTGCTGCTGTTGCTGCTGCTTGGTGGTTTGCTACTGCTGCTGCTACTGCTGCTGCGGATGCTGCTTGGTAGCTGCTGCTTGGTAGCTGCTGCTTCTGCTGCTGCTGCCTGGTACTTACTGCTGCTGCTGCTGCCTGGTACCTGCTGCTTGCTGCTGCGGTACCCGCTGCTTGCTGCTGCTGCTGCTGCTGGTTGTTGCTGCTGCTGCTGCTGCCTGGTACTTGCTGCTTGCTGCTGCTGCTGGTTTGCTGCTGCTGCTGGTTGTTGTTGCTGCTTCTGTTGCTGGCTGCCACTTGTTGCTGCTGGTTGTTGTTGTTGTGGCTGCTGCTGCTGCTGTTGCTGGGGTGGTTGTGTCTTGCCTGTGTTGGGGTTGTATTGGGGGGGCGCTGTTGGCACTCTCCTCCTTTGCCCTCGGCCATGACATGTTGCGATTCCCGGCCAGGCGTTTGCTGCCAAAAGAACCCCAGTGGTGCTTCTCTCCCTAGCTTTCGCCACCCCTCTGGGCCACAAGTTGCGTACATTTCGCCATGGGCAAACATCGCGCGCTCATGATTCCTGGTTGGGCCTTTGCAAAAGTATCATATCAACTCCTACAGCAACGGGTTTGATATTGGTACATTCTGGACGTAGCCTAAGAAGAGGACACCTTCAATGATTTGTGTTTGTTAGCGCAAATCAGCGCAGCTGCCGAGATTGCAGTCCGCTGCTCCTTATCATAGAACATTTGCACATTGGCTGGAACTTCCGGGAGATCAAGGACAAACCGTATAGTAAAGTTGTGATGGCAACTGGACGTTCATTGCGAAATGGCGGTTTGTTTTGTGATTTTGTGTTGATTTTGGTCACATACGTTTCCAGCGTTGGCCTGCGCTAGGTATCAACCAGCTGCCACATCAACAGTTCCATATTGAATATATGATATTTTTTTTGCATCAAGTTCGGTCGGGTGCGTATATCCACATGACGGCGCGTTTCTTGGTTTTCTTCTTTTTGGCAGAATGTTTGTCATCAAGGGGGTGTTTTCTCCCCATGGTTGAACACGGACATAGTTTTATTTAAAAATACAAATAACATGATGACAACTCAGAGTGCAGCCCGGGGCGGGCCTCGTCCACACTTTGCTGAAAACCCATTTTGCCATGGATTTGCTGATGTTTAGGATGTGTATTGTTTTCCCTATGGATCAGTCTGGGGATTTATGAGTTATTCCTCAAACAAAACTAAATTTATCATTGTCAACGGGTCGGCAGATGTTCTGCATCAGGTCGGCCCCCGTTGACGAGAGACAACTCGCTGCAGTGGGGGTCGGCTGGCTTAGTGCTTTCATTTTAGCGCTAACTTTGTGCCGTGGAGGTTTCACTGTTTTTTGTTCTCAAGGTGGTGCTGGGCTTTATATATATATATATATATTGTTGTTTGTGCGCCGCACAACCCGGTAGATCAGACATTTGAACTGTGATCGCCGCGCTCGCCTCAAGCTCAGTGGCGGGTGCGCGCGCGACTTGAGCAATGGCTCACTGAAAATAGCGCGTGGCCGCGCTGACCGACTTTCGTGGACGAGGACCTCGAGAACCTCGTGACCGGTGATCGAAGCTTCGTTACCAACATTGGTAGCGGAGCGCTACCAGGGCGCTCCAAGAAGAAGAGAAGATGCCAGGACCTTCAGCCTCCGGTCCCTCTACTACCTCCTCAGCTTCAGGTGGATCCATCGAGACGATGAAGGACACCTACATCCCGGTTTTCAATAACCAAGTGGCTGACTACAAGGAGTGGAGGCAGCGCATCATTCTCTACAAGAAGAAACTGGCCCTTCAAGGAAAAGAGAAGGAAACGATCTTGAACCTTCTCACAAGCCTCAATGGCACAGCATGGAAGCAGGTCGAACACCTCGTCGATAAGGTAGCCGAGGCCTCCGACGGCTTTGAGCAAGTGCTGAAAGCATTGGATGCAGCCTTTCAGTACGATGATCGGGTAGAAATGCCCAGAGCTCTCGAGAAGTTTTTCTATCAACTGACGAGGAGGAGCGACCAAACGCTCCTATCTTACTGCTCAGACCACAGAGAGCAGCTTCGAGAAATCGAACGCCACAACATCCGCATCCCAGACAGTGTCAGTGGCTGGATGCTTCTTCGACGGAGCAACTTGACACAAGAACAGAAGCACTTGATTCAGTCGCAGGTTGGCCCCGAGATGAAGAGGGCGAAAGTTGAAGAGGTCATGTACTACCTGCTGGGACAAGACTTCAAGTCAAGGTCAGAGCAGCCAAAGGCCTGGAACAAGCATGCCAAGGGCAAGGGCAGATGGTATCCACGGAAGAGCCAACAGGCCTATGCAGCTGAAGACTATGACCTCGAGTATGACGACGATCTCGAGGAGACCTACGTTCAGGCCGACGATGAGCTCTATGAAGAGGATGCCAACTATGAGGACTATGAGGATGACGGTGCCTTCGGTGGCCAGGATGAGGAGCTCTACTACACGGAAGAACCCTGGCCTGAGGAGCCGGATCCGGCTCTCGAAGAAGCCTATGCAGCATACCTTGATGCACGCCGGCAATTTGCCAACCTCCGTGCTGCAAGAGGTTTCTATCCAGTGGTGGCACTGTCGAACCCTTCGGACATGCCAGGATCAACATCGTCCTCGACTACCACTTCCCAGAGGCCAGTGAACAAAGGTTCAAAAGGGAAGAAAGGGAAAGGCAAGGGGAAATCACCACCCCAGAAGGGAACTGCTTTGAACAGAGGACGAACGGCCTTAGACTCCATGCAGTGTTTCAAGTGCGGACGTTTCGGGCATGCAGCAGCTGAGTGTCCAATGAACAAGACCTCGCAATCACCCAAGCGCACCAAGACCGAGACATCCACAAAGACTTCAGGACAAGCCTTCATGATGCATGATCTCAGCCGAAAAGGGATTCCACAACTCTCTGAGCAAGGCTGGTTTGGATTGCAGGATGGTGGAGCAAGCAGCATGGTATGCGGCCATGAGACTCTCATGAACATCATCGAGTACATGAACCAGCGTGGTGTGCCCTTGGAGAGATACACCTTCCATCCAACCACGAAGATGTTTGGCTTTGGAGGTGATGCGATGAGGAAGGCAGAATGGACCGTGAAGCTCCCGGTCTACGTGGATGGTCAGTCAGGCATGATCGAGTGCTTCCTGGTGGACGGCGCTACGCCTTTGCTTGTTGGGCGGCCCATCCTCAAGTCTTTGAAGGTGAAGGTGGACTGGGATAAAGATCTCATCTCCTACGGCGACCAAGACTGGAAGCCCGCCATCAAGGGCGACCGTGGTGAGTACCTTCTCAGGTTGGATGATGGAGTGCAAGGTGATCCCGAAGGACATAACTTGGCATTTGACCTGGTGACAACCGAGACCTTCGAGATGGTGCAACGGTCAGGGACGATGCATTCCTCCACCTACACGCTCCTTCAGTACCTTGAGGCCACTGGGCGAGATCCACCAGAGCATTGCCTTCAGGTCGACGGTGAACCCTTCCAGGACAACCTCACTGATGATGATGAACCAGTGATGGATCAACAACCTCAAGGGCACAACGATGAACAGGTGGCTGAAGTGCGGAAAGAGATCACGGACAAACTCCTCCGAGGCATACGCTTTCATCATGCTACGATGTTTGCCCACCGTCGCTCTGTGCTAGAGCAAGGACTACGTGCTCACGAGGAAGGAGCCAAGGTGTTTTGGGAAGTCTATTCAGGCGAAGCCGGCCTATCCTTGGAGATGCAGCGAAGAGGCTACTTGGTGTACAGTTTTGACACCAATACCGGCTGGAACTTTGATCTGCCTGAGCACCGGAATGCCTACTACAAGTTGCTGGAAGATGTGGCGCCAGACTTTGTGTGGTTGGCTCCAGCATGCAAAAAGTGGTCCAAGATGCAAGCTCTTAATGCCTTGACCCCGGAGCAAGAGTTCGCCTTGAGATGTGAGCAGGACTATGAGGAAGCAGTTCACTTGAAACTGGCGGAACGCACTTTCGTGATCCAATACAATGAAGGAAGAGATGCAGCCATCGAGCACCCAGCGGGATCCAAAGCATGGACAACAAAGACGTGGTCGAACCTCCCTGGCTGGCCATGTCGATTGGATCAGTGTGCCTATGACACCAAAATTGCCGACCAGTATGTGAAGAAGCCTACAAGGTTGCAGCTCACAAGTGCCTCCATGACAGACTACCTGGCTTGGAGATGTCCCGGAGATCATGAACACCTACCTCTAGAAGGGTCCTTGCCGGGAATTGGTTCTTTGACCAAAGCTGCCGGAGCCTATCAGACAACCTTCTGCTACCACATTGGTGCGGCAATCGACTGCCTCTTCTATGAGCCTGAGGAATTTGCCCTGGAGGGTGGCGAATGGGACTTGGAAGACATGGGAGAGTATACTCCCTCAGTGGCTGGCACCGAACAACGAGAACCAGATGAGCCCAATCACGAACCGGCGCCTCCAGCAGAATCTGAAGTCAGAGTACAAAGCTACAAGGCTACTGGAGTACTTCAACGACTACAACGACAAGACCGCCAGCTAGCCAAGCGAACAGTGAGTCGACTTCACAGAAACCTCGGACATCCCACCAATGCAGAGCTCAAGCGACTCTTGGAGATGAAGGGTGCGTCCAACGTCCTTGTTGAATGTGCACAAGAACATGATTGTGATGTGTGTCGTCAGCATCAACATCGACCACAAGTACCCGTCTCCTCAGTGCCGAGTGTTCAGGAGTTCAATGCCAGGGTCCAAGCTGACACCCTCTGGATCAAGATTCCAAACATGAAGAAAGCTCTTCCTATCCTGATGATCAGCGACACAGCAACGCGCTTTCTGGCTGGACGAGTGATCTGGAAGGAATCACCAGAGGAGTTCATCCTAGCTGTGGAAAGAGCCTGGGTGCGTGTTTTTGGACCAATGCAGACCCTACAGGTTGATGACCACAGGAGCTGGGCCTCAGACTATGTCAAGTCCTGGTGCTCGGAACAAGGGGTTGAGCTGAGGATCTCACCTGGACAGAGTCACACACGACTTGCTATCCTGGAACGACGACATCAGGTGACCAGGCGAGCGTTGGAACTATTTCTGGCTGATCAAGAGCAAGGCAACATATTGCAGCCAGCAGAACCTCGTGAGAAGCTGATACAGGCCTTGTGCTATGTCATTCCTCAGATCAACAGAAGCACCAATGTCCGAGGATACAGTCCAGTACAGTGGGTCTTGGGCTACACGCCACACATTCCTGGGTTGCTGACAGAAGAACCTCTGCCACCACCATCACTTGATCCTTCGGACGAGTTCCTGCAGAAGCTACAGAGGCAGAAAGCAGCAGCCAATGCCGTCTTCTCAGCAGATGTTGACACCAGACTGCGACGGGCAATGAACCGGAAGTTCGCTGGCCAGCTGACCGTGTTTCATTTGGGGGACATGTGCTACTACTACCGAGATGGACCAGGTGGCATAGGACCCAAACTACGATGGCGTGGACCTGCCCGCATCGTGATGGTTGAGCAGCTTGATGGCGGACCTCATTCCAACATCTACTGGATCGTGCATGGCACGAATCTCTTGAGAACAGCACCAGAACATCTTCGACCTGCACCTGTGGAGGATTCTGGAAAGGCAGCTGATGATGATCCCTTCTTCAAGGCCCAGCAAGCCCTGCAGAACATTCGGAGCAGGGGCACGACACTCTACACCGACCTCACCAAGACGAACAAGAGACAAAGGCATGAAGTCTCCAGTGATGAGGAAGATGAAGAGTTCGATGATGACCACATGGCAGAAGGAGAAGAAGGGGAGGGGAATCCAGGATTGGCTGACTATTGGCAGGTCAGTGATGATCAGAAGACCTGGACCCGTGTACACAATGTTGAGCGCAAAGAACTCTTTGTGCCAGTCAGCACTGATGATGTCCCAGTAGACCGTTTCCGGAACCAACGTCTCACTGTCATCAGACGGAACCCACCTCATCCGGAACATCTTCGACTACGAGACGATTGGAGAACAATCGATGCTGGAAGGAACCTTCACTATCGGTGGACAGGCACAACAACCTTCCAGATAGATGATGACATAGAGACGGCTTCAGATGACACCTTCGAACAATTGGTGCGAGATGAACCGGAAGAACCTCCCGAACCAGAGGAGGGACCACCAGAGGACGATCAACCAAGAACGTCAGCATCAGCAATGCCACCACCGGCAAACCCAGCAGCTAACGCCCCAGCAGATGCTGCACTTCAAGAACCACAGAACAACAATGAAGCAGATGAAGTACCTCTGGAGGAACCAGCAGCACCAAGCAATGAAGCATCACCACAGGAGATGCCTCCAGCACCAGTCCCGGAACATCAGAAGAGGCTCTATGAACCGACCGCCAATGAGAGCTTCAGAAACCAGAGAAGCCGAGTTGACGAACAGGAGACCTTGTCTTTCTTGAAGAAGCCAATGGTGTATGGACCCATGAAGTCAGAGACTGCCCGGTCAACGCCATATGATCAGGTGGCCACAGAGGACATGAACATGCAGATTGATGTGGATGTCCAGAAGATTGATGATCTACCACCAGGGTGGCACCTTGAAAATGGATGGCTCTGCCTAGACAGCCCCGAAGACGACTGGGTCATGGAAGGAAACTGGCTCATTAGAAATCACTACATCCCAAGAAAAGAGGCCTACCGTCCATCAGATGAAGAATGCCCCATTGACCTGAACTACCTGGTCAAGGAAAGAGTGTCCAGCACATCCCACGGCATCTTCAAGGACAGATGGAAGAGACACAGCCGAAACCCTCTTATTGAGGAGGCCTACTGGACAGGACAAACCAAGTTCAAGATCAAACCCAACTGGCGCGAACAAGCACAACAGGACTACAAGAAAGCCAGTAACGGGTACAAGACCCTGAGAACACCGTCCGACAAGATTGCCAAGAAGAAGAAGGGCAAGGACGAGGTGTTCGAAAGGTACATGAGTGTGGCCGACCGTCAAGCCTTCATCCAGGCGAAGATCAAAGAGCTGGAGAGCTTCTTTAAGAATGAAGTATGGCTCTATGATGAGGAGAAGAATGCAGACCCTGAGCGAATCCTCAAGGCCCACTTCATCTTGACGTGGAAGAAGAATGAAGATGGCACACCACGAGCAAAGGCAAGACTCATCACACAAGGATTCAAAGACCCAGATGCACTTTCCGGAGCTTTGTCCACCAATGCCCCCACTTTGACCAGACTGGCAAGAGGCCTGGTACTATGCATTTGCCAACTTTACAAATGGCACATGTTCACCTCAGACATCACGACCGCCTTTTTGCAGGGCAAGAATTTTGACAAGGAATCCAAGCGAGTGATCTGGATTCGATTGCCACGGGACGCCAAGCAGCTTCTGGGCATGTCACCCGAGGAACCAACATTGATGAGATTGGTGAAGCCAATGTATGGACTATGTGATGCTCCCCGTGCATGGTACGAAGAGGCAACAGAACGCATCCTTCGAGTTGGTGAAGGCAACATCCAGCGACATCCACTGGACCCATGCCTCTTCATGGTCTATCGACCTCTGGACCCAGAAAAGATGACAGATCCAACGGTGGAGCGAGAACTGGCCTGCATCTTTGGCATACACGTTGATGATTTGGTTGGTTGCGGTGATCTGCAAGACCCGTACTTCCATGAAGTCAAAGAGAAGCTAAAGAATGTCTTCACGTTCCGTGAGTGGCAAGAGGGCAACAACCTTGAGTATTGCGGGAGCCAAATTAAGAGTCTTTCTGAAGATGTCCTCGCTTTGAGCCAAGAGTCCTATATCCACAAGGTGAAGCCAATACCCATCGCCAAGGAGCGAGTGAACAGTCCTGACCTTCCCGTGACAGAACGAGAACGATCTCTACTACGCGGACTGATAGGTGGTTTGCAGTGGCCTGCCACCCAGAGCTCACCACATCTACAAGTCGGAATTTCCCAGCTGGCTGGTGAGACTTCAAAGGCAACAGTGGCAACACTTCAGAAAGGCAACAAGCACCTGCGCTATGCCAAGGAGTATGCCGACGTAGGACTCCAGTACAGATGTCTCGGAGCCAAAGAAGATATGACCTTCATCGCCTACAGTGACGCCTCCTTCGCAACAAGATCAGATCTGAGCAGCCAAGGTGGATACCTCCTGGCTATGTGCCACAAGGACGTCGCCAATGGCAAGTGTGAAGGGCACTACAATGTGATCGACTGGAGAAGCTGGAAACTACCACGTGTGTCAAGAAGCACGCTTTCAGCAGAGTCCCAGGCAGCAAGTGAAGCCGCAGATAGTCTCATGTACACCTCCTTGTTCTGGAACCTCATCTTCAAGGCATTGATGCCCCTGGATTCCGTGAGCACTGGACATCTGCAGAACAGTCCCAAGCTCATTGTGGATGCCAAGGCCTTATATGATGTCCTGGTAAAAGATGAGATCCAAGCAGCAACTGGAGCAGACAAAAGAACCACCATTGAGGCTCTTGTGTGTCGAGACAAGCTATCATGCTGCAACGGAAAAGTCATGTGGGTATCCTCTGAGCTTCAGTACGCTGATGGTCTGACCAAGGATTCAGCAGCTGCTCTTCTTGGACAACGACTTCGATCTCACATGACAAGGCTGAAGAGTGACGAGACCTTCCAAGCTTCCAAACGGAAGAATGTGACCAACAGGAAGAAAGGTGAGAACATGTATGCCATCAGACGACCAGAGAGAGCATTGTTTGCAATGTTTTCAAACTACTTCCTGGACACCGTGAACGCTTTTGAAGAGAGAGATGGTAACTTCACGGGCACTATGAGCCACTATAAGGGGGAGGAACATGACTTGATTGACTATGTCTTGTTGATCTTGACGATCATGTTCATCGGCATGTTCACCTGGCTCTTCTGGAAGTGGACACAAGGTCCAAAGATTGTGATCCTTGAGAAGAAGTTCAAAGAGAACGAGGCTCAGACAACCCGAGACGGGACTTGAAGAACAAAGGCTGGTAGAGCTGCGCAAGGAGAACATCACCATCACCAAGCAGAACCAGAGATTGAAAGAAGAGTTGGCCGTGTCGGAACAGGCACGACAGGACGCACAAAGAGAACTACGACTGCTGGCAAAAGAGCACCACAAGATGAAAGAAATGCAAGAGGCAGATTTCAACCACAAGTTCAAAGTGGCAGGACAACAGGCTTCCTTCAAGCCAGTCTATCTAGCAAGCCAAGGAGGCTGCTGGCATGCATCGAGGGCTTGTGTTGCTCAGAGGACCGCGAACCTGGTCTACGAACGACAGCCTTGCAAGGCATGTGCCCATTTGTTCTTTGACAAATGCACCCCGACAGCATCGAGCGAGGGTGTTCATTGGGTTGGCGGAACCCACGGCACGTTGTTCGGAGTAGCCACCTCAAGTGAAGACTGGTGAGAAGTGAGAGGCCGCGAATTTAGAATTTCCTTTTTCTGAATGATCTTCACCGATGTTGTTTGTGCGCCGCACAACCCGGTAGATCAGACATTTGAACTGTGATCGCCGCGCTCGCCTCAAGCTCAGTGGCGGGTGCGCGCGCGACTTGAGCAATGGCTCACTGAAAATAGCGCGTGGCCGCGCTGACCGACTTTCGTGGACGAGGACCTCGAGAACCTCGTGACCGGTGATCGAAGCTTCGTTACCAACATATATGATATACATCTGTTTCAATGTTGGTGTTTGTGGTTTTGATGGCAACTCGGATGTTTGCCCAGTATGTCACCTGCATGTGTTCCTTCGTCACGCACTCCAAAACGCCTCATCCACCGACACCCCACCCCACGCCGACGCCGGCGTCGACGCCGAGGCCGATGAGAAGGGCGACTCAGATCTGACCTTGGACCAAGTGGCCACCGATCTCACGTGCCTTGGAGACGAACACGGCTTCGCGACCGTGATTGCGGTTCCACAGAGTGGCGCGGAGTGGAACGGCCGGACGAGGTGTGCTAATGGTCCAGTCCGCCAACGAAACCCGTCTCCTTTTCATGACGAACGTGGGTGAAGTTTTGGAGTGGCGCGCCAACACCCATTCTTCATATCTTGGCTGTGGGTCACGGTACCCCAAATAGACCTGCCAGAAACGTGGGAGCGACTCTAAATTGGGTGACCCTACTTGGTAAGTCTGGTTTTCTTGAGCTTCTGTCTGAGGTTGGGTGCTTGTTACAGGTTTGGCAAGGACGTGTCCAAAACATTTCAATCCATGAAGTTATGTGATCCTCGAATAGTGAGGCATGGCGACCCACAGTCATCCAGGTCGGGGCTCCAGCGGACCAGTCTACCGTGTGGCCTCCAGTCTTCCTCCGTAGGGAAGAGCAAGGTATCCAGGTGCCATCTGGGCATTCCTACTAGTAGCAAGAAGCTAGGTATCTAGGTGGAGGCCATCGCGGATCGTAGGTTGGAGGCCATCGCCACCAGTAGCAAGAAACTACTAGTATAGCATCTCATCGCTGAATTCCAAGGCAGATGGCCATGGATGGGCTCTTGGATCCAGTGGTAGGCCGGGCGAACATCGATGCCACTGGCGAAAGATCGGGGACCTGAAGCCGGTCCGTTCCATCCATCCGCAACACAGCTGGCTCCTGTCGCTTTCCCCTGAATGCCTTGGACTCGAAACATGGTTTCTTTTTGGTTTTTGCTTTTCATCAAGAAACAAGTCGCCTTCTCATGATCTCTGCCGTTGTCCCAGTGGTTTTGTATATAGCTACAACAGGGATGATCCGCCACGCTTCCACCGGTCTGATTCGGCCGCTGCGGATTCGGTGTCGTCCTCTTTCACGCAGTGAAACGCAGCTCCAGTCTGCAGGGGATCCGCGACTGGCAATGGTCCTGCGACGTCATTAGAAAACGCCCAATTGGACCTTGCTCCACGTACTTGTTCCTCTCACGACTGTTCTCTCCGATTCGACCACATTCGATCTACAAATATAATCAAATATATACATATATATATATATGTATAGAACATGGTCGTGACCTCTATTTTGGGACCACCCACCACCCCATCTTAGATGGTCAAACTTCCTGATCAACTGCAGGTCGGTCAGACCTTCCGTCAGGAACCTCCAGGTATGTCGACATGCCTGCTGGTGCTGTGTCCTGTGATGTATCATGATGCCTCCCCCAAGTTCGATCGAATGATTGGACCAAGAGTGGAATATGTTTCCATAATACCACCAGCACCTTCAAAGGGGTCACCTGGCTGGAAGCCCCTACACTACCAGGGGACCTCCAGACAGGACACCCCTTGAAGGTCCAGGCATAATAATGTGTCCAATATTTTTTTTCATCTTTTTCCAAGTCCCCCAGGATCCCCCATCCGCGAGTCCCATGTTGGATGATTGGAGGACGCAAACAAGGGGAACAGGTTCACTTTGACCCCCCAAAGAACCATGGTAACACAAGGGACGGCCATTGGAGTCAATCAACGGCCATTGGATGCGAACGACGGAGTGAAGACGACACGTGACGATCAAACACCATGCTTTTCACTTGGTTCTCACCTTCACAAAGACCTCACATGTTGCCTGGTGTGTTTATAGTGAAGAGTTTTCTCTTCATGGTTTTGATGGCTCTGGTAGAATCCGATACTGCCTCGGGCTGTTGGTGCTGCACGTTTCTTTGCTTCTTGAAAGCCCCGAACTACACTCTTCACACTGTTAGGTCGACAAGAGGAGATGGAGCGCATCATCCAGATCTTGCTACGGAAGCGAAAGTCTGGGCCCTGGTAGACTGGAACAAGCAAAACAAAGGAAGGACATCTGAGATCAAAGATGAACGACAATGATGGGCAAACACTGCTTCTCCATGCTGGTCCTACTGTACCTATCACAATACAACGTGGTTTCAGGGTTTCCTGCCTCACTCTCGCTGTTCTGGATGGATGTATAGTCATCCTAGAGTCCATAGAATATGGAAAATCCATGAAACTCCAAACAATAGGGGGCTGGTCATGCTTTTTGGATTGCTTCATCTTCTATTGTATCTATATTGGATCCTCTTCCTATATATAAACGACATGTAATTCTTGTTGAATCATTTCGATGTTCTCTCTCCCTTCTACTCAACCTGCATGAGAGAGCTCAACGTCTCACGTGCGTGTCTCACGTCAGGAACAACTGCTGCCTCGTGGGCCCTCCCGGCGTCGGCAAGACGGCCGTGGTGGAGGGCTTGGCGCAACGCATCGCGCAGGGGGAGGCGGGACGTGTCTAGTCGTGGAACTGGGCTGCGCCAAACGGCGAAGTCGCAGGAATCCAAACGAAGCCAGTCAAACGGCGATAGAAGTGCAATTATTTGGGTGGCTTCGCCGTCAACAACAAGGACCACATGGGAAGTCTCTTTTCATGCGCGTCAACACTTCGCGCGCCACAAATGGTGCGAGCTCAGCTCAGCGTACCAAACGTGTTGACGAGGTGGTTCTTCTTCGGTCACCGGTCCCCTTGCTCCATCCCTCATTCTCGAGACCTGACGGCCGAACGTGCAGGTGCCTTCACGCTTGCGTGGGAAGCAGCTCTACTCCTTGGACTTGGGGCAATTGGTCGCCGGAGGGCCGAGAAGAGGTCCGCGTTTCGGACCGTGACCGTGCGGCGGGCGTCGGGCGGCGGGTGAGGCGGTCGTTTTCAGAGCAAAGAGAAGTCAAGAGAAGCACAAGGCAAAGCAGCTTTTTTTGTTTTGGGAGTTGTAGGAGAGGTTTTGATTGGTCAAAGGATGTGAAATGGTATCTGGTTTTTTTTTGGCTTCGAGGGTGACCTCTCCAAATTTGTCGAACTGAGCAAGACCTTAGAGGACCCTCACCCCAAGCAAATATAGCCACTGCCAGAGTTGGTTTGGATGATGATTGTCCTGGACATTCTTTCATCATTTTTCTCTCCTGCAGGTAGTCTGGCAGTTTCTGACTGTTGGAAGGGTAACCTTTCAATCGACTGTTGGATACATGATACTACTATCGTCACTATAGTCAGTTGGGGGAGAGTTGTTTACATTGCAGACAGTTTTGGACCAAGGTCATATTTAATGACTCTCCCTGGAACGGCCCCATGGTGGAAGTGGATGACACCACCTGTTTACCATGGTCCGAACTCGGGGCCAGGCCATTCTCCACGTAACCATGTGGTCCTTCCAGGGAGTGCCCTAAGGATCCAGTCGTACCTTCTCAGGTTCGGTACGCCTGGACCCTCCTGGCACCTACATAACAGTGCCTCCAATCACCGTACCTGAGAAGGTACGACTGGATCCCTAGGGGTGTAAGATGACGATTCACTTGCTTTTGACCTGACGGACCGCCCCTCACTCGACTCTGAGGCTGGCACCAAGTACCGGGGCGAGTTCGAAGACCGTGGGAGCCTGACCGGGAGGGGTGAGGGAACGGAGGTGAGAGGGTCCAAACTGCTGACTGGGTCTGTTCTGACTGGGATGTGTTGGGATGTGTTCGGGTGTGGATGGCTGTGAGAGGAGAAAACTTTGTTTTGGGTGGAGGGAGTATAGCTGAAAGAGATTGAAAAAGTATTCTGTCATAGTCTGTTTGCTTTTTCGAGGGATCCTTTTTTTGGGGGGGTGTAAAAGATAATTAGATGAACTTCAATGTATGGTTTCATAGCTGTTTGAGGTCCTTCATATTGGTCTCACTCACACATTGCATTAACAACATTAATTGTATATTTTAGTTATATTGTTTCATGTTCTTTGACATGTATATGTTAGATAGGGATTAGCTCACGAGCAGCTCACCACATCAATGCGTTAGCTCGCCCAGAAGCTGAAATCGATCCCTGTGGGGCCCAAGGGGGACCGAACTGTGGGACCGTCACCATCTCCAAGCGTCAGGAAGTCCGTCAGGAGCATCTGAGAAAACCTTTTGCTGTGGCGAAGCAACATAGCGGTGGTGAACCAGAGTGGTATACAGAGTGGTATATAGACTAGACGTGACTAGACGACATCTCTACTCGTTTAGATGGTGTTCAACTTGGGAGGCTGTTTCAACTGTGCTGATTGCCTGCGCTGTTTCAGAGCGTGGTGACGTGGTAAAGTCTGCCTGTTTCAGTCGTTCCTCGTCACTCACGGAAGTGTCGTTCCGCTCCTGACCTCGTCCTCTCAGCGAGCTGAGCTGCAGCTCAGCAGATCATCAAGCCTCAGTCTGTTGGCCACTGAGGCTTGAAGAAAGTGATCAATGAGGTGACCAGTGATGAAAGAGACATTTGTCTCTTCATCGACGAGCTTCTTGACTCAGAGATTTGACGGATCGACGAGGCCGCGAGGCTCACGCGCTCGCTTTCGAGAAAAGCAGAGAAATAGATTCCCTGACTGGAAGCCGTCCAACAAACATTGCTATACATAAGTTACATATTGTTTTAAAACTGAGATTGAGCTTCACTTACGGTGACAACAGTAGGTGGGGCGAAGAAGCCAGAATCTCAGCCATGTCGACTTTGGACAGAACCGGACAGTTGACATTTCGGAGAGTCTTATTCCCCTTAAAACTCCAGCCGTATGCAAAACTGGGGACCTGTATTTCATGTCACCGGTTCGCCAGTTCAGTACCACCACTTGGACTTGTTCCAGACCGACTCTTTCGGGTGGTGACTGAGTTCTGTCTGTCGCTGTTGCTGAGGATTCACCAGATCATCGGCGCGGGCGCCGCAGGCCGCGACGCGCGAAGTCGCGAAGGCGCCAGGAGAGATGACCCCGGTGTCCTTTTTGGTCATTCTTTCGCAGCGCAAGGCTGAGATGTTCCTTGTGAGTTTTTTCATGTTTTGGGGTGGCTGAATGGCACTAATCACTTGTGGTTTATCCCGTATCATGTTGCTTCATTTTCATTGGACGGTTCACACGGTGATTCCGTGACCATTTGGCTCCTCCGCCGAATCTGGAGATCCCCAAGTAGTGTAGGGTGGTCCAGCCAGGACACCCCGACAGGATGGTCCAGGTGGTTTTGTTTTTCAACGTCCCGACCCACTGGGTACACTCGGGTGGACCGGTCGTTGCCCCCTTGGGGGGGGGTTCGGTCGCCCTATTCGAGCTACACCACCTATATAGATCTATATATATATAGACTATATATAGACCCCAGGGCATCCCGTTTCCACTATAGCTGGTAACCAGTGATTCCAGTTCGACTAAAACCATAGACCGAACGAATCCCTGGTTCCTTATAGTCCGTGGTTTGCCTGGGATCCACCTGGGGACGTTCTTCCTCACCCTGGACCTGGTCGGGCTCCGATCTTCCCAGGTGCCGACTCCTCCATGGACGCGGCGAACCTTCTGAAGCCTTCCTTGGCACGTGGAGAGCTTCAGGCGCGGCCCTTTTGCTCCCTTGCTCCCGTCGGAGGGCGGGTCCGGGTGCGGATTCGGTCCGTGGAAGGAAGTGCATCCAAGTGCTCCGGTTCGTGGATGGTTTCCAGTTCAAAGAGTTTCTTCCACAGGGCCAGGGCAGGCTAGTAGCAGGGCGTACCAAAAGAATGGGCTGTTTTTTGCTTCCTTTGCGGAGCCGGGCGGCTTTGGAAGAAGTCCCGGCCCCGGGGGTTTTCATGGACCCTGAACCTGGACGAATGGACAGTGCCTGGTAGGTCACTTAGGTCCCCTGAACCTGATTGCCATCCTCTTCACAAGGGTGGTTGAAGACCGATTCAACACATCAACGGTCCACAGGTGGTGTGGAGGGGCCACAGGTGGAAAAGAGGCGCACGCACCGAGGTCATTGGCGCGACCACTGCGGACGAGTGAGCAGGAGGATGGGAGGGTAGAGGATGGTGGCTTTAGAGGTATGGGAGTCTCCAAGGTATTTACATTTTAAAGTCATAAACACGTATATATAGGATGGTATACCTAGATTTGCAATTTGCACCGACTCAGTCTCTGGCCGATTGAAAATGGGATCAGGTATTGCATTGAACTTATAGAGGCTCTATAGGTATACGGCATAGGTTTAAAACAGCTGAGCCGTTTTGACACTTCACCATGTTGGAACCTGTGTAGGACAGAGAGAGCTTCTCAAAGCTTAATCTTGTTGTGGAGGGACGATTCACTTGGCTTCCCAGATGCAGTTGATATTGTCATTCAGTAGCTGAGCAGTCCATCTTCAAAAAATGAGTCCAACTCGTTCTCCCTGGAGGCCTTTGGGTCATCACCTCTGGGAGTTGGGACTCGTAACAAAGGGGGTCCAGAAGGCTGAGTTGAAAGACCTTCACCTCTGAAAGACGTGGATTTCAACATTTGGCCCATCACAAAAGCAGTGGAGTTGACATGCTTCTTTCATGGGCACTTGGGGCTCCTGAAATAAGAACGAACTTGGTGTCCGACTCTTATAGAAGCTACTTCCATACAAGCTCGTGTTCACATACATGCTTCGACCATTTTGACCAAGTAGTTTTGCATCTCTGAGAAGTCAGTCGTACAGAGAAGCTCATGTTGCGCTTGGAGGTCAGTTGACTGACTGGGTCATCCATGCGCTTCCCATCTGCCCAGCTGGGGAAAGATGAGGCCACTGGGCCTCATCGATCTAGGTACACCAAGCACATCGAGAAAGATGCAGCCCTGGAGCGACGCTTCCAAAGGGTGAACTGTGAGGACGGCTTGTGGATGTTTGTGGGAAGTATACTGTATAAATACCCGCAGAAGAACAAGACAGCGGGTGTGTGAAGCATCAAAGAACGGTTGCTTAAAAAGAAACAGCTGATGTTCATCGTCTCTCATCATTTCAATGGATAATCACCTCCAATGTGGTCATTCTGATATTCAGTCTCCTTGGATAGTTCAGTCCTCTCGTTTTCCTTTTCAACACCGAAACAACCGCCGTACCGGGACACCGTAAACCCAAACGGGCAGGGGACCGGCCCGCGAACGTCCGCGGCCCGGCCGCGCGGCCGGTCGTAGGAAGCATCAGTCTCGGAGACCTTGGAGGTCCTCGAGGGCTTGAGACCCTCCTACGAGGCGGAGAATCGATCGGCGGCATGGTCGGACGGAGGGGGTCGCGCGACCGGCAGGGGAGCACGCGGGGCCGGGAAAAGCACTTCTCTTTCGTGTTTGGTTGTATTTGGATCCCTTCCCCTTTGCGGCTACATTTCCCAGAGGCCCCCCCTACAACATGGTAGGGTTGTATTTGGATGTCAACATTTGCATGTTGGATGTTGGAAAAAGGATGAACAAAGGACACCACGGGCCAAAGGCGTGTTATTTGTTTTCTTTTTTTCGTTGCAGTTGATACAGGCTGACACGCTGCTTCAAAGCCGGAGACCCAAATGACTGCCTTCTTTTCGGCGTCGATGGGGTCGGTTCATGTCTGTTCCCAGACTCTCCAAACAGCCCTTGGTCCCTCAAAACCGGGATTTGGGGGGCCAGATGCGGCCCCTTTCCTTAGAGGGTCTTCTTTGGCGTCTGGGTTCAGGGTCTTTTTCGAGCACGGCGTTGGCTAAGGGGTGTCGTGCGTGGCCCAAAAAGAAGCACTTCTTACCCGGCGCATGGCCACACCCTCCGGGAGGGTGCCCAAAAACCATCTCACACCGTCCACAGCGGGACCACCGTCGGAACCACGTCAGGCGCATCACGGAGTGCTCTTGTCCCCGGACGCCTTGCAAGCGGCCACGCGGCTCTCGCAACGCGGAACGCTCAGAGAGGAAGAGACAGAAGACGAAGGAGGAAGGAATAATGGAAGGAAGAACATGTTCTAAAAGCACCTTATAGATCGGCAATTTGATACTATATTTATCATCATTTATCATATGTTACTCTATTCCGAAGGTGCTTGGCGTTGAAACATGTAGGTTTCATATTTGTGCGCCATCTATACGGGTATGAGAATTTACCAAGAAACCAAGCATTGGACAGGGGATAATAGATGGCGTTTGTTTTTTGAGAGGTCAGACATGCTTCCACTCACGAATGGCTCATGAGCACATGTCACATGTGGGAAACAAAGACATGTTCAATGCACACATGGAAAACACATGTTAACACATGTTACCACCTGCACCTACCTTTCCTTCCACCTTTTTCCTTGATGTTTTCAGCTATTTACAGCCATAATACACATGTATTACAAAATCCATGTTTCCTGCAGCTTCACCACAACGGCGCACATACGTTGGGCTTCTTGCGGGAAGAATCCAAAAGGCGGCCCCATTGTTTATTAATTACACTATTGTCAAACCAGACGGCGCAAAAAAAGTCAACAAATCAGGAGCGATAGGCATGGTATAGACCCCCAAGAACAAAAAGTGACTTCGCACAGGGGTATGGTCCAAAGATAGGGCGGTGCCATCGACTGTTTGAAATTGGCTGTTTTTTTGCTCTTATTCTACGAGCGGTGCCATCTACTAGTGTGAGGACACAATATGGAACAAAGAGAGGGGAGAGATACAGAGAGAGCAAGAGAGAGAGGGAGAGAGAGGGAGGGGAAGCAACCAAAAAAAGAAGACAGGGAACTGCAAGCAGCAGAGAAAAGAGAACGAAAAAAGAGAGAAAAAAGAGAAGGAAGAGAGAAGAGGGGAGAGAATCAAGGAAGAAGAGAAGGGAAGAGGAAAGAAGGGGAGGGAAGGAACAAGACATGGGCAGCAGAAAAAGAAGGGCTTGTGGAAAGCAGGGAGGGGAGAAAGGGATAAAAAAGAGAAGATTGAGAGAGGACAGGGCGGGACTGCCACTCTGTGTACAGTAGGTTGCGCAAAGTGGAGGTCAGAGGTGGGGGAAGGAAAACAGGGGAGGGGAGAGCAGGTACAGAGAAAAGGGGGAGGGGGGCAGGACTGACAAGTGCAGAGTAGATGGCGCAGCCTGATGATCAGCCAGGGCATGGGCAGC